CGCATTTACTTTACAATATAGCATTTTCCTATGCGAAAAAAAGGGTTGGACCAGCAAAGAATAAAGTTGGTTTACAAAGAAATAAGAAAATAGAAAAGAAAATGGGTGAATAGAGAAACAGAAAACAGTAAACTGTAAGACGAAGTTGCAACTTAATCATATTCAGCAGTCTGAAATATTTAATCAAACTTACCGGTCATCACATACTCGGGGGCTGAATATCCAAAGGTTCCCATCACTCTAGTAGAAACACGAGTCTTATCACCCTCCAGACCATCTTTGGCAAGTCCAAAGTCTGAAAGCATTGCATTATATTCCTGGAACAGCATTTCATTAGAAGAGCAATAAATTTTTGGAAAAGAGTTTAGACTTGTACTTTTAGTCACTTACCGCATCTAACAGGATATTGGATGTTTTAAAGTCCCTATACATGACTGGCCTTTCAGCTTCTTCATGAAGAAAGGCAAGGCCTTTTGTAGCACCAAATGCAATTTTCATCCTGATGGACCAGGGAAGAGGGACGGCACGGTCCAAGCCCACGGCATGGCTTGCAGCCCGGCTTGGCCCAGGCTCGCATGCCGGCACAGCACGGCACGGGCCCACTTGGGCCTGTGCTATAAGCCGTACCGGGCCAACCCTCAAAATTTCCACCGGTGAGGATAGCACGGCCAGTGGCGGCCCGCGGGCTAGTGTGGCACGGCCCGCCTTTAGGGTGGACCGCCCACAGGCACAGGACGGTTCTGGCAAGAAGACAGTGCACAGGTTCAGATTCTTCTGATGAAGTAGGAAAACAAAGTTCAAATTAAGAATACTTTACAATATTCCATGAAATGCTGTTATGGACAAGTGAGATTGAGATACTTTACAATAAAGATGACGCAAGGCCAAATAAAGAACTCTTTCACAGCCTTATCCGACCAGATATCAGACTAAAACTTGACAGTTCTAGCATCAAGTGTAATGACAAGATTGCAGAAATGGTGGAAAATGCATCTTAGGATGCCATCCAATCAAGGCTCCACCCACCCTTTCAAGCAGGAATTTCCATAACCATTTTCACTTATTTGACGAATGTGCCAATTGAAGACCACCATTTGTCATCGGAAAGAAAATTCCAAATGTTATCTAAATGATTGTGATGCCAATAATATTTACATTTCTTCTATCATTTCTTTAATAAACAATTGACAAAAGAAGGTAATACACAAAATATAAACCAGTGAAGTTTGTGAGATGAACTTTAGCAGTTGAAGTGAGATACAAAACAATCTGTTTATATTCAGTCAATATTGGTATAAATACCTATTTGGCTGATGACAGTACTGTTGTTGATAGAAGTCTGCAGTCTCCATCCTTCTGGTTCCTGAAGAAACTCCGGCCTTTGTTTCCAAAGTAGGATTTGCTACTTGTTATGACAGTGTTCAGCTTTGGATCTCTTTGTGCTTCCAGTGCATCCACAAAATTGCGAGAGATAATGTTTAAGATCATAAACTGAGATTTGCATTTGCAAAAGAGAGCAAAACCTGCCATCTAGTAAAGGGAAAAACTAGATGACACGAGGGAATTAAGAGGATTACTGGTATGTATTTAGTAAAAATAGATGAGTTTTAAGACAAGCATACTTTCAGGAAAGTGTCTAGTGCAACTGCCTGCTGTGTATATGTTGGCTGGGAGCGCATTCAGGAACCTTGCAAGCCATGCCCACCCCTCCTTGAGGCCACCATTCATGCATATTCTGGACCCCATCAGTTTCTGTCTGTCAAATTATGCAACTTAATTTCTTCAATACGTTAGAGTTAATAGACATGGACAAATTGCAAGTGTAGGAACCAGCAAGATGACACAGAGTTAATAGATCTGCTCCCCACAAGGGGGTGCCCCACAATGTCCCACAGTACATTCCTGCTGTGTATTGGGAACATCTCCCAATGATGACATTATTATTTTTGGTATTATCATCGAAAAATGTTCTCAATACACGACAGGGATGTGCTGTGAGACGTTGTGGGGTGCAGATGTGAACTCGGCTTAAGATCAATCTAAACTCTATCCAATTAAAAGCACAAGAGGACACTCATCTGCTTGGACCGTAAGGTCAGGTCCAAGTATGAACTCTATCCAATTAAAAGGAATATAACCAGAAGGATCAAAAAAACCAGTAAGAGCACTTTGGGCCAGCCAATCTGCAACTTGATTCGCCTCATGATACACATGTCTGAAGTTGATGTTCAAATTGGACCTGCCATAAAAGTTGATACACTCATTGATGATGCTTTCCAATCTCCATGGGGGTTTCACCTTTCCTCTAAGGCAGTCGATCACAAGCTCTGAATCTCCTTCAATGATGATCTGGAAATTCTTGTAGTTAGTCGCAATGTTGATCGTTTCCCACGCCGTCCAAGCTTCAGCAAGATTTATCAAAATAGTGCAAATGCTGTAGGCCTTTATTGCCAAGAATAGATCCTTGGTGATTTCTGACAATACAACTTATCGCACACCGCCCATTTGACTGGCAAGTGGCATCAAAGTTGATTTTAATGGAATTGAAGGAGGGGGGACCAATGAACTTCATTCTTTGGCACCAAAATGGTCTTCTGAAAAGGAGTTATCCTTACCTCAAACCAGTAGCCAAATGATTTATCAATTATACTCTAAGCAGGAGCCGACTTATTATTGAACACTTTTCATTTCTATTTTTCTATATGAACCAGAGAATGCATGCTATTTTTTATCTCAAAAATTTATCATTAAATGAAGACTGATTCTTTGAAATTCTAGTCCACCAAAAAATAATTGAAGTTTCATTAGCATTAGGAACAGGTAGACAAGAAGTAACTCGACTCCAAATCTGCTTAGTGAGATGGCATATGATGAAGATGTGATCAATACTCTCCTCCTCCCCACAATGATTACACTCTAGGCTAATACTAAAGCCACATGCAATCAATTTATTTTTTGTGGACAGCTTATTATTAAGGAGGAAGAAAAGAAACACTTTGATTTTTTGTGGGATCTTAAGCCTCCAAATACATTGAGAGACATTATTTGTCACTTCAGAATCATCATTGTGTCTGCATTCCTCAACATAAGCAGATTTAACAGAGAAATTCCCATTTGGATTAAATTTTCAAATCATCTTATCCACCATATGGGAACAAAGGATTAAAATAGTCCTAATATGCTGCCAAATATGCATGGGGTCAATAGATCTGATGACATCTTCCTTCCAAACTTTTCGATCTTGATCAATAACTCTACTAACCGAAATTTCCGGTTCAGCAATTAACTCCAGATTAACATCTTCTAGAATCGGAGAGTTACCCACTCAAGTATCTTTCCAAAATTTGACCAAATTATCATCACCAATTCTCTAACTTAGACTTCTTTTAATGAGGTCCCTAGAGGTAAGAACACCTCTCCAAACCTAAGAAACACTCTTCTTTGAATCAACATCCCAGAAGTTCTTTGAATTTAAATATTTACAAGTGGCCACTTTTATCCACAAGTTCTCTTTAAATTAGGATCTTCCAACCTAACTTAGCCAGTTTAAGACCCAACCCACCACAAGATTTGAGGGTACAAACTCTATTCCAGTTAATCAAATGAACAGGGTGCTGACTTCTAGAATTCAACCAAACAAAAATCTTTTTGAAATTTCTCCAAACCATATATAATATTATTTGAAATTTTAAAAGATTACATAACAAATTCAAGGATCATAGAAGCAACAGAATTAATAATAAGAATGAGTTTTATGAAACGACCCCTAACTATTCGCAAAAAAAAAAAAAATCTGTAACCGGGCCCCGGAGCAGTGGGTTCTGGGTAGAGTTGCTCACAAGGGCATTTTCGAAAACCACCCAACATTAAAACATGACATATCGTGAAGCAAAGGCGTCGCTTGCCTTCTACTCCTGCCGTCGTCCCGCGGCTTAATGCGTAACGTAGAAGTGATCTCGTCAATCAGTTACCATACATTTTATTCTAAACTTTGATGTATAGAACAAACGTGGCAATAAGGGATGACGGTATTGGCCCATCGAACGGTCATCCTTCAAGGACCATCCCTCCTCACCTGCTCATAAGAGGGGGGATTTTCTCTTCGGTTTATCCATTATACATATCACTGTATCCCTTTTATTTGGATGGACCGCCGGACCGGGTCATCGGGCCAAGGTCATTTAAAAGAACGAATCAGGGAGTCAAGCTTGGGTGTGGGTTCTTCGTGTGGACGGGAGTCACTGAAATTACTCCAGAGGATGGATCAAGACCGGATCTGCTCCTCACACAGGGCGTCTCACACCGATCTCACACGTACATCCCACTATGTATTGGGAATATCTCCTGTACTTATGTTATTATTCATGGGAAATATTTCCAATGCACGGTGGATGTGCCTGTGAGGCACCCATGTGTGAGGAGCAGATCCCATTCCATGGGAATGGGCCCGATCAAGAAATTCCATCCTCACACTCATGAATTCAATATGATCATTTTAGATGCCTCAAGCACCACGAAATCATAAGCTTTTATTTATTATTTTTAATTTTTTCGATGTTATATGAAATTAGGGGTGTTCACAGGTCGGATTGGGTCGGTTTGAGTCATTTTTTTCAATCGACCCAACCTAGTTGGTTTACTTATTGATTAAACCAAAACTGACCGACCTTGAAGCAAAATATATGTTTTGATTTTGCATAAAACATATATATATATATTTATTTAAATTTACACAAAACTGAATTAAATATTGTATCACTGTATATCAACATTTAACATATAGGATAAAGACTAATTAATAATTATTTAAACATATAGTATCGGTTTGGATCGGGCCAATTTGGTCAATTTGACATTTAACGTGAACACCCCTACACGAAATCACATGATTTCCTTCTTATTTAAATCATAAGTTTGTTGTTGCTTTTCTTCTCATACAGTCATTGATCCCTTGCGCATGGATGGTGAAAACGACCGAAATTGAGTATAAAATTTTTCCGGTATCATACCCTTGCGGCATCAAAGAAATTGCCCATATATAAAAGCAAGAGGGTACATCTCGACTCTTGTGTGTCTGTCCGAAGCAGGGAATCGGATTGTTCAAATTCAATATGAAGTTGAAGAAACTCTTCCTGTCGCTTCTGGTTCTAGCTTTTCTGATCATATCTCCTAATACCATATCTCAACAGAATGTAACAGCTCTGCCTCTCTACACCAATTCCCGGTGGATCGTCGACGAAACCGGGCAACGGGTGAAGCTGGCGTGTGTGAATTGGGCATCACACCTCGAGAGCATGGTGGCGGAGGGCCTGAGCAAGCAACCGTTGGACGTGATCTCCAAGCAGATTGTATCGATGGGATTTAACTGTGTTAGGCTCACCTGGCCATTGTTCTTGGTAACTAATAGTTCCTTGGCCTCAATTACCGTCCGGCAGTCGTTCAAGAGCCTCGGCCTTATCGAAACTATCGCCGGCATCGAAGTCAACAATCCGTCTCTGGTTGACCTTCCACTAATTCGAGCTTATCAGGTAAAGCGAATCTTTCTTTCGTTTTTCAAAGGAATTAATTTAAAATTACCATGTCTACCAAAGTCAGGAGGATGTGGGACCATATATTGTGCATCCGCCCTTTTTATAAGCGGGTGGACCAAGTCTTCGCTGCAGTAAGGGCGTGTAGAGGCGCCATTGGTCGCTACTTACTAAACCACCTAACGAACCAACCCCACCATGAGAGAGAGAGAGAGAGGGAGAGAGAGAGGGGTGTTGCAGACTAGGACGCATTGATAACACAGAGCAAGGAGTCATTCTCATTCATCATTTCAGCCATTGCAGCCACTATGAAACAGTCAATGTCTACCTCGTTCAGGGGATTGTTTGGCTATGAAACTTGTCCAATTATTGAATTGCTCACTAGATAAGGAATTAGTAACCCTAAGTCTGTAGACTGTAATCCACCCTGAACTACCCAATAAGAATCCACTGATGTTGCATGTTGGGGTATTACATTTACATTGGAAAGGAATCTTCATCAACTGGCGTCACAGCATTTGCTTGGTCCGGTCCTTTAATCCAAAATAAGGACGGTGAAATTGCAGGCCTGAATTTATTATTTGAAAGTGCAATTCAAATATTGAGAAGCTTAGCTGCTTAGGCTCGTTATTTGTTATTTGTTCCAAAACAATGAAGTCAATAGATAAGACAACATCTCCTTAGTTGAAATGTTGAATTATTGCAACCTCAGGTCGTAGTGGCTAACCTTGCGGACAACAACTTGATGGTGATATTAGACAACCATATTAGCAAATCCGGTTGGTGTTGCAGCAGCGTTGATGGCAATGGCTTCTTTGGCGACAAATACTTTGACCCATCCCTCTGGATTAATGGGTTAACCCGGATGGCCACCATGTTTCGTGGCACAGCCAATGTTGTCGGCATGAGTTTGAGGAATGAGCTCAGAGGAGCCAGGCAGAGCGTGAATGATTGGTACAGGTATACCCCGAATACTGTATTTGATATGAAAAGGGATATTAAGGGTGCAACTTGTGAGATTGGTACAGACTACAGAGTATGTGTTGCATAGATCTTTTTGTACTCAAAAGCTTATTCTCTTTTAATCTTCATCTTATTAGGTATATGCAAAAGGGAGCTGAAGCAGTGCACTTAGCAAACCCTAATGTTCTCGTTATATTCTCAGGGTTAAATTATGACAAAGATTTCACTTTTCTGGTTAATCAACCAGTTAACCTAACATTTACGGGGAAACTAGTGTTTGAGCTTCACTGGTACGGGTTCTCGGATGGGAAGGCTTGGGAGACAGGCAACCCTAACCAAGTTTGTGCAACTGTAGTAGATAACTTTATGAGAAAAGGGGGGTTTGTGTTGGACCAAGGGTGGCCACTGTTTCTCAGTGAGTTTGGTGTGGATCAGAGGGGTACTAACATAAATGACAATAGATTCTTGAATTGCTTCTTTGGTGTTGCGGCTGAACTGGATTTTGATTGGGCCTTGTGGACACTAGCAGGGAGTTATTACTTGAGAGAAGGGAAGATAGGGATGGATGAGACTTATGGTGTTTTGAGTTGGAACTGGTGTAAGACCCGTAACTCAAGCTTTATGGAGAGGATCTCCGTACTCCAATCTCCCTTCCAAGGTATGTTATTGTTGTTGTCGTCTTTATTTATTTATTTTTTCTTTCTTCCATATATAGTTGCAATCCTTTGTGAGAGTTAGAAGATCCAATCCTATTTTGATTATTGAATACCAACTGCTAATCACACCAAATAGAAAGTAGAAACTAGAAAGATAGGTTTGGGCCGCTTAACAAGATTTAAATGCATCACTCATGGATCGTATTATATAGGCCCAAATTAAACTCAAGTAGACTTAGGATTGCAACTGTATATGGAACATGCAAATGGGTTAGAGGGGGATGTACATCATCCATTCAGATTTGGGCCCATACCTAGCCACATTATCTGCTCTCCAAATGATCCGTCCCAATAAAATAATCAATATTCCTTTCTACTTTGTGTAGTTTGAAAAATATGTTTACAGACCGCCAATTTGATGCAAAAATGCAGGCCCAGGTCTTTCAGACGTGAGGCCATACAAAGTGATTTTCCATCCATCAACTGGCCTTTGTGTCCTAAGGAAGTCTCTATTTGAGCCATTAAAGCTTGGACCATGTACTGAATCTGAAGCCTGGAGTTATACACCACCGAAAAACTTATTGTTGAAGGGTACATACTTCTGCATACAAGCTGATGAGTTGGGCAAGCCAGTCAAACTTGGAATCTTCTGCAGCGATCCTAGTTCGAAATGGGATATGATATCAGACTCGAAGATGCACCTTTCATCCACCCTTAGCGATGGAAGCACCGTGTGCTTAGATGTCGACTCTACCAATACCATTATCACTACTCCATGCAAATGCGTAAGCAGAGATGACAAGTGTGATCCTGCGAGTCAATGGTTCAAAATCGTTACTAGCACAAGATGTCCAATGGCTACAAAATTCTCATTGTGGACCATGATGAGTCCTCTTCTGAATTCGATTATGTGAGAAGAATTTCAACTGGAGAGAACATTCATGGCTGGGGAAGCAGTACTCTGTATATGGCAACTCATACCTGCAACTGAAGGCTTCCATAGATATGTAACGATAAAGGAAAAGAAAAGATGTTTTTAGCTTTTCTTCTCCTTCTTATTGACAGTCTGAATATTACAATATAATTAAAACATTATTTAGACCATGGAAAGCTTATACAAAAGTGTACATGAATAATGAATATCATGATAATGCATAAAGGTTGTACTGTTCACTATTCAACAACAATTTAAACGATATAACCAGAATTACATATATTGAAATTATAAACGTGGTAATAAATTAGGTGTTATTTATCAAAATTTATAAGTGGATTTTGATTGGTCAAAACTCTTTTCATACCATATCTTTTCCATCATAGATTTTTTATTATTAATTTGGATCAATAATTTAACAAAAAAGTTATAGATTGGGTTATAGTCATCTGGCCCACGATCAACTTAAGTCAGAAAACCAGCATCACGTGATTTGGTCCAGCCCAATCCAGACTTCGGCGGTCAGACCTAGGACCTGCTTAAGCTGATGCATTTATTATGCGTCCAGCAAACAATCTCCTGTGTCAGAGATTGTTACATGTGTACTTTTTTTTTTATTTCTTTTAAAGGGCTACACAAATGGGGGTAGCCCATCCGCCAACCCAGGTACAAGCGGTATTCAATCACAAGTCTCCGCTACAACCAGCAGGAGACCTTACCAAGCCACTAGTTGGCACCTTACAGGCTTGCATTACACATGTAACGTGTAAAGGGGTGTCAATTGGACTGGATTTGGTCGAATCCAATCCAGTCCAATGTGAATCCATTAAAAATGGACCAGGTTGAATTCAATTCAATAAATATTTTGGATCATTTTGAAGAGGTTCAATTCAATGTCTGAACTGTCAAATCTGTTTAAATTTATTTTTAATTTAGATTAATTCTAACCCAAATCTGGTCCATTGACACCTATATTCTTATCTTCTATCAACAGACCAGATATTAGCTCAATCCAGTCCAACCCAATTCACGATTACTAGCCATTCATAGAGAAAAAAATTATGTATAAAATTTTCATGGCTCTATTCAAAACCAATCCTAGACCCTTGTCCATTCTAGTACTGCATTTCAAGCCTGAAAAATACATACTAAAAGCTAAAGGGTCCAAAAGAGTACAAAGATTCAGGCTACCCAGCCAGCCAAACAGCCTTCTTCAAGGATAATAGAAGAGTAAATACAACTGATTCCGGGTCTATGCAACAACGAGTGAGAAATCCTACCAAATGATTCCAGGTCTCTGTTCATTTCCTCTAAGATACCCCACATTATTGCAGAAGTATCTTGCCTCTAACCATTAATCCCTCGACTTCTAAATCCATTCCAAATCAAGCGATTCTATTATGGTCCGTTTGGTTGTTGAGAAATGGTGGGATGAGAAGGGATGGAATGGGAAATGATGGGATGAGAAAGGAAACTTTATTTTCTCATTTTTGGTATCTTGTGTTTGTTTGCTGAGACCTATTATCCTACAAAATTTGCTTCCAACGTTGGTTGATGAAAAAATTTTGTAGGAAGAGATAGACGCTAGAAGCCAGATTTGGAGCTCAGACATTAAAATGAACGGAAATGGCTATCAACATGGAAGAATGATGCCTCTAACAATAGATTTACCATTTTTCTGTGAATGGAAACTGATATGGAAGACCAGGGATGGGGGTAGACGAAGAGGTAGACGTCGGATCTAGAAGAGGTAAATGCAAAAAAACCGCCAGATCTAAGTTCATTTTAACGTTTAGTGCTAATAAAACTGCCAAATCTAAAAGAGGTAGATGCCCAAAGCCAGATCTGGAGCTCATGTGTTAAAATGAATAGAAATTGATGTTGACATGGAAGAATGGCGTCTGTGAAGGGAAACTAGTCTGAAAGACCAAGGATGGTGGTAGATGAAGGTGAGATTTGGAGTATTCATTCAATGAAAGAAGACAAATATGGTACAAAAATGGGCAGAAATCGCAAGAGACTGCCAAATCTGAGCTTACATTTCAAAAATATCATCGGAGATGGTGTCGGTGAGTATTCATTCTCACAAAGGCCTCTATTTTCCTTTCAGCGGGGTCTCACCATTTTGGTGTGACCCACAAATTGGTTTTTGGGAAACCCCATCTCAAGCCTTTCTCTTCCCATCCCAGTTTTTCTTTCAAAACAAACAATAAAAAAATCGAATATTCTTCAAAGATTCTTTCCTTCCCATCCCTTTCTCGGCAACCAAACATACCATTAGAAACCTCTACATATCCCAAAAGAACCGGTGGAGGAATAAATGGTTTAATCGACCGTGACTAGTATTTATATTCAACCCGTATATGTTGCAAATATCACGTGTCTCAACCTCTACATATCCCAATGAGGACCAAATCTTCTTTCTTGGCAAAAAATGTAAGATTTAAAGCTGTCAAAGCCAATCAAGCCCTTAAAAGGACAATTCTGGCAAGAAGACTGCACAGATTCACATTCTTCTGACCCAAAGTAGGAAAACAGCGTTCAAATTAAGAATACTTTACATTCCAAGAAATGCTGTTACGGACAAGTGAGGTAATCTGAGAAACAATGGAAGATTTCGCTCTCAAGGACTCTTTCACAGCTTCATCCGAGCAGAAATCAGACAAAAAACTTGATAGTTCTTGTATCAAGCGTAATGACTAGATTGCAGAAATGGTGGAAAGTGCATCTTAGGATGCGAAAGACCATTTGTGATCGGAAAGCAAAATTCCAAATGTTATGTAAATGGTTGTAATACCAATAATATTTACATTTCTTCTATCATTTCTTTAATAAACTATTGACAAAAGAGGGTAATACACAATATAAACCACTGAAGTTTGTGAGATGAACTTTAGCAGTTGAAGTGAGATACAACCATCTGTTTATATTCAGTCAATATTGGTATAAATACCTATTTGGCTGATGATAGTACTGTTGTTGATAGAAGCCAGACTCTGAATCGGTAACACAGGAATCTGACAAAACAGAAGTCTGCAGTCTCCATCCTTCTGGTTCCTGAAGAAACGTCTTTTTTCCCAAGTAGGATTTGATCAATGTTATGACATGGTTCAGCTTTGGATCTCTTTGTGCTTCCAGTGCATCCACAAAGTTGCGAGAGATAATGTTCAAGATCTTCATAAACTGAGATTTGTATTTGCGAAAGAGAGCAAAACCTGCCATCTAGTAAAGGGAAGAACTAGATGACATAAGGGAAGAGGATTACTGGTATATATTTAGTAAAAATAGATGGATTTTAACACAAGCATACTTTCAGGAAAGCTTCTAGTGCAGTTGCTGTGTATCTGTTGGCTGGGAGAGCATTCAGGAACCTTGCAAGCCATGCCCACCCCTCCTTGAGGCCATGCATATTCTGGACCCCATCAGCTTCTGTCTGTCAAATTTTAATTTCTTCAATATGTTAGATAGAGTTAATAAACATGGACAAATTGCAAGAGTAACAACCAGCAAGAAAAAAGATGAGTCCATAGATTGATGGTGGTTAGATTACTCTTTTTTTTTATTATTTTTTTTTGAAAGGAAAGTGTAGAGAAGATGGGCCGAATGGCCCATAGACAGTTAGTTCATGTTATGTTATGTTATGTTATGTTATGTTTCTCTCTGTTGTGGGCCTTATTCTGGGCCCATACTCTGTATTATTCTGTTTTTTGTATTTTCCTGCTCTCTCAAGGGCCTCTCTGTAATTTGTCAAAGATTAACTTATTAATAAGATGTTTAG